GTCGTCTGCTACAATAGGGAAGCGCGTCTGGTGATTTACACTGTACTGGAACAGTTCCAATCCGGACATTTTTACTGTCTTGTCCAATATTCTACTCACTATTCAAGCAGCACGCCCGACATCAGTGCTGTGAAACCAATTGGGAACCGTCAGCACTTTCCGTAAACGAGAAACCTTCACGCAATCCGTTTGAATTGACATGATAAATAGATTTCATTTAATCCTTCGGGTGTCAAAGCAATGACATTACTACAGTAAGTCTCCTGTTCACTGTTGTTAATTGTAAACCATTAACTGTTTCCGTACGGTTTCACAAGACATGTATCCCGTCAATATCCAACATGTCTGACAACATTGGGTCTCGACTCCAATGGTGGTCGTCTGCTACAATAAGGATGCGCATCTTGTGATTACACTGTACTGGAACAGTTCCACTCCCGACATGTGAACTTTTGTTCCGGGTTCCGCTCACTATGCGCTTTATTAAAGACAGCAGTGTTAATGACACTAGTTATGTTAAAGGGCAATGACTTCACGCAATCCGTTTGAAATCAACTTTGTGTAAATGTACACATAGAAATATATTTCCTTTAATACTTTTGGTGTCAAACGAATAAATAGTATACTCTGTATATATTGTATTTATTTTTTATTGAATGTTAAACCTTGGGACCCTAACTGTTTCCGTATAGTTTCACAAGACTTGTATCCCGTCAATATCAAACATGTCCGATAGCATTGGGCCTCGACTCCAATGGTGGAGGTCTGCTACAATAGGGATGCGCGTCTTGCAATCGAGAACCGTCGGCACTTTCGTGGGTTCCGACAGTTCCCGATTGGCTTGTCTTTTGATCAGACTGTACTGGAACAGATCCGGTTTTAAAACGTGTCTAGTAGTAGTTTCCCTGAGCGTCAAGTAAATGAAAACTAGGAGACATTAGCACACTTCCTTGTTGGGTACCCTCACCCTAGTCTTTGCTATCAAACGCTATTTTTGAAAATATTGTTTCCTGATACAAAGACCTTCCAAGCCTATTATACCTCTCCTGTTTGATATATTTATTTATATATAAGAGATTGATAAGAGAAATAAAGAGTTCTATAAATGTATCATTTCTCCAGTGTCCACACCTACTGGAACAAGAAAATGGAAATTACAATGGTTAGAGTTATAAAATCATATTTTGGTTATTTAATAAACATTTTCCTTTATAAATAAACTGCTTGTCCTTTATGTACCTTTTATTATATGGAGCATGAAACAATATCACATTGTCTGTGGGAATGCCAAGCGGTTCAGGCACTATTACAGAGATTTTAATCCTTAATTGTTATCCTTTTAATTCCTCTTGCTTACAATAAAGAAAAGTTCATTTTTGGAAAAGTATCACAGTACTCTACTGTATAGCTTTGTTGATTCTTACATTATATCTACAAGACTGGATGCCTCAGTATCTGATGATGGTGGTGATGATGATGATGACGACGACAACCGATTAATATTATAACATTTTATTGTTGTTATTTTGATGATGATGATGATGATGATGATTAAGATGATATGATGGTGATGATGATGATGATATGATAATGATGATGATGATGATGATGATGATGACAATCGATTATAATTAGTATAACATTTTATTGTTGTTTTGATGGTGATGATTATAATGATGATGATGATGATGATGATGATGATGATTATAATGATGATGATGATGATGATGATGATGATGATGATGATGATGACAATCGATTATAATTAGTATAACATTTTATTGTTGTTTTGATGGTGATGATTATAATGATGATGATGATGATGATGATGATGATGATTATAATGATGATGATGATGATGATGATGATGATGATGATGATGATGACAATCGATTATAATTAGTATAACATTTTAGTGTTGTTTTGATGGTGATGATTATAATGATGATGATGATGATGATGATGATGATGATGATGATGATGATGATGATGATGATGATGATGATGATGATGATGATGACAATCGATTATAATTAGTATAACATTTTATTGTTGTTTTGATGATGATGATGATTATAATGATGATGATGATGATGATGATGATGATGATATGATGATATGATGATGATGATGATAATGATGATTATGATGATGACAATCGATTATAATTAGTATAACATTTTTATTGTTGTTTTGATGATGATGATGATTATAATGATGATGATGATGATGATGATGATGATGATGATGATGATGATGATGATGATGATGATATGATGATGATGATGATAATGATGATTATGATGATGACAATCGATTATAATTAGTATAACATTTTTATTGTTGTTTTGATGATGATGATGATTATAATGATGATGATGATGATGATGATGATGATGATGATGATGATGATGATGATGATGATGATATGATGATGATGATGATAATGATGATTATGATGATGACAATCGATTATAATTAGTATAACATTTTTATTGTTGTTTTGATGATGATGATGATTATAATGATGATGATGATGATGATGATGATGATGATGATGATGATGATGATGATGATGATGATATGATGATGATGATGATAATGATGATTATGATGATGACAATCGATTATAATTAGTATAACATTTTTATTGTTGTTTTGATGATTATGATGATTATAATGATGATGATGATGATGATGATTAAGATGATATGATGATTATGATGATGATAATGATGATTATGATAATGACAATCGATTATAATTAGTATAACATTTTTATTGTTGTTTTGATGATGATGATTATTATAATGATGATGATGATGATGACAATCTATTATAATTAGTATAACATTTTATTGTTGTTTTGATGATGATGATTATTATAATGATGATGATGATGATTATAATGATGATGATGATGATGACAATCGATTATAATTAGTATAACATTTTAGTGTTGTTTTGATGAGGAGGAGGAGGAGGAGGAGGAGGAGGAGGAGGATTGCTATGATGTTGAGTTTAAGCAATGGTGAAGATGGAGAGTGCTATACTGAACCATGGGTAGTTGTAATTGTTTGTGTGAGAGAGTGTATGTATATATCATGTTAACGTATTGTAATTATATAAAAAGGCTTGAAAAAAATTACAAAAAGAAAGTGTCCATTCATGCAAAGAGCATATATGTATACGGCTCTGATTCAGGGGAGATTATCATGATCTATGACATACAATTTGTTTCTTTCCCCAGTGGTATTCATGAAAAATTCAGAAATTCTTGGATACAAAGCAAATATGGAACACTTTGTATCCATCCCATAATAAAACATTGCAGAAAATCAACAGATACCAATCTGTAGGGGTTCTTCAGAAGACATACAGTTGTGCATCATCTTAAAATTGTAGGTTTGCAAATGTTTACACATGTTGTTAAATTGTCTTCTTCTCAATGATCTACACTGAAAGTGGAATTAATCCTAGTCTTTTTAGAAGATCTAAGGAATTGTAGGAATTTATTTATTTCGATATTATTTAAATACATGTATACGTACATGTAAATATATTTTTATCGGTCTGTTGATTAAAATCCAATATACTCTGTGCTTTGTGCCGATTTCAGATTTGTAAGCCTAAGGTCGGGGTCACATCTCTCCTGCGACACTGCCTGGGAAAGATGCTCTCTCGGAAGCTGCTTTCCTTTTCTTACCCTTTTTTGCCCATGCCCAATGCCTCCAGGTCTCTCAGACCGAGTGTGGTGGTAAACCTTTGTAACCGACAGGTGCACATCTGTCACTTTCCCTATAGGCTTTCATGAGCTAGGTGTGATTGAACCTGTTCATATACCTCTATATACCGTTCCTTCCAGGGAACAGTTAGCTCGATCATGTGGATCTATCCGGTACTTGCAACCATATCAAGACAGTAATATTTTGAACTTCAGAAATACATCTGTCTGTCCAGGTTGTGTAGCTTGTAGAAATTCTTTGAAGTTGAATTTTTCAGACATTTTGTAAGTCATTTTTTTTTTAATTAAACATTCTTGTAAGGCCAAGAAGTTTTAAAAGAGTTAGAATCCTGGTATGGCAATATTGAATTTTTACAACTTAAAACACTGTTTTTGATGTATTTATTTCATTTTTTGTTCATAAAACCTGCAAGGCATTGTTTTCTTTTCAGAAACAGTTTATGAAAGCTATAGTCATGCTTAGAAAAACAGTTTCATAAGAAAAGTTAAAAAAGAATTAAAGTGGTGCACTCACTGGATCCTTAGCTGGTGATATCTGACATTATATTACTGTTATGGTACAGAGAGATAAGACCTAAGAAATACACACATTTATAAAATAATATTTCAGATACAGTATTACCTCTTTGGTATAAAAAAGAAGAGGCCCACACCTGAATATTTAAGAAATCATAGCAAAATGTTCGCATCAAAAGTGGTATTGCAAATAAGATCTCGGGGATAATGTCAATCCCTGGTGCCAAACCTAGTAGCATATATGTATCCAATCTTTATGCTATTTAAATTGTTTTAGGGTAAGGATCTCAAATGTCTGAATGTTATTACCCAGGAACTTGGGGCAGACCCTAAGGCCAAATCTGTGACCCAAAGTATGTTACAAGAGATGAAAAGCCAACCTTGGTAGCACATCTGTGCCACAATCATGCCTGGCATTGGCATATACTTCAGCCTTTCAACTGGTACATTTTTGAATCCCCACCACCTGAGATTACTTCAAAACAAATATGACTGAATTTTAAGCTAGATGGCCAAATTATCCCCCTTTGCCCAGCCCCTCGGTCCCCAGGGGGTCAGCCCCACCATTTGTATAATTTTAATCTCAACCACCTAAGGATGCTTGGTTATATGCCAATCAGCGTTTAAGAAGAAGTCACTTGAAGAAATTGTTCACTTACAGATGGACGACAGACACCACAATACAGAATATCTTCACTTTGGACAAGGTAAGCTAAAAAGAAGACATAACATCAGCCAATCATTTTTAATAGGTTTTTATTGACTTATCAGGATTTTCCATCCAATGGTTCATTTTGTAAATCTTTCATTTTTTTCAGATGTTTCAGTTTCCTCGGGTTTTGGAGTGCCAAGTCCTTTTCCCACTTCTGTTTGTACATAGTGTAAAGTCTCATGGTGGCCTGTGCATCCTGGATCTGAAACATTGAATGTCAAAGATGTCTTACAATAATAATCTGAGGTTCTTATATACTGATTTGTTACAACCTAGTTCGTATGTCGTTTCAGAGCGGTTCACAAATTATTATCCGTGATTATATGGCCTTTGCAACCAGCCAATATCTTTTTCAACTCCCTGGGGAGCATACAGCCGGTGCTCCCATTTCGGCGCACACAGCTAGCATTCAACAATTCTAGCACTGCCCAACCACGTACTCATTTACAGCTGAGTAGACTGGAACCAGCCGAGTAAAGTATCTTGATCAAAGATACAACACAGTGCCATGATGTGACTCGAACCCTAAATCCTTTGGTGACGAGCCCGTAGTCCTACCACTAGACTACCGTGCCTCCTTATAACTTAAACATGTTTACAAATAACTACAACCATTGTAGTATCACTCCTAATACTGTACATTATTAAACTTTTGATGTTTACATCAACAAAATGATCAGTAAAATGAAAATTATCAAATATAACCACCAATTTTTCATATGTGCTGCAAAAGTTTTAACTTGTAATATATGAATCAAACTATGATTAATAGAAGCCACATCTAGAGAACCTCATCCTTAATCAGCAACTTCAGCAGCAACAGGACAAGTAGAGGATCACTTGATTAAAACTTTGGGACGCTGGTCGTCTGATACTTATTGTCAGTATATCAAGACACCGAAATCAGTATTGAAGGAAGCACAAAAATCTATGTGTTTCAACTGAAGCTAGATCACATACAGAACATTGAACATAACAGTTCAGAAAGTAAAACTTGTTATTGTTGACATAGCAGGTATGGATCCGTGTTGATTTGAAATGTGTGTTATTAGCATAAACAACTGTGCTGTAAATTGTACATTTATCAGGATATGCAACATCTGAGAAGGAATTAAGTGGGACTATCTACATACTAACCTATATTTCTTGGGGGCACTCAGCTGGACACATTATTAAGACATTAATTAAAAACGGGGTCAAATAATGTATCACAGCTTCATTTGGGTTTTTATTTCATTGTGATGCATATTTTACATAACATTACGTAATACCCCCAAGATATAGATACATAATTAACTCCTTTCATTTCACTTGGAGTCTTTTGTGTATAAACCACAGTTATATCAGAATATGACCGTGTTCAGTAATATATGTCCGTACTAGGGATGTAATAAATCAACAGCATGAAATAGTATTCAGATAATCAATCGTAAATTTGTTACGTACCGAGCTATGTTCTCCTTCCTGTACCGCCACATCTAGAACTTTGGCCGTCAGCTTCTTCAGGGACGGGGTCTTGCCATTAAACATTGCTCTAAAAGGTTTATACTTAGATGTGTCACGGACCAGCTTCCTAGGGTGACTCAGATACAGCACCTGTCAACAAAGGTGAGAAAATCAACTCTAATAATAACAAACAGCAGTCTCTACCAAGAAACCTGATTTTACTGACACCTTACATCTTGTGATATCAGAGGATTTTTCTGCAGAGCCGATTAAGATCAAACTGAGATTTTGTCTCAGGAAACCCCCCTTGTTAGGTGTCACCATGGGTAGGGTTGTCCTATTTCATTGGCCAGTTGATTTGTTTATAAAAAGCAGATACGAGGTTTAAAGTTTTTGGGTTTTAAAGTTTAGAGTTTGAGCCTGATAGGTGTTTCATTTATACATTTGGAATCATGAAGATTATGTTATGTAAAGTTAGTGCTATTGTGATACAAAAAATCATCTATACTAAAAGTACTAGAACCACTCATCTGTAGGTACCGAAATGTTCAAGCATTGAAACGTGTGCAACAGGGAATACTTCCTACACATATTATCAATATCACTAAATCTTACAGTAACATTTACAGTATGTACCAACAGGGAATACATTGTTCATACAGTGAATACGTTTGGTTTAGTGTGGTTTAATTTTGTTTAAAGTCCTATTAACCTCTATGGTCATTTAAGGATGTGCCTCCGTGTGTGTAGTGTATGCGTGCTTGCGTGTGTGTATGCAGCAGACAGGGTATGTTGGTGTGCTTGCCTCCTTGTCAAAGTGCAGATTATACTGACAACGGGTGAACCAGTTGTTCTCATAAATGCTGAACGTTAAGCAGGGAATTATAACAACTACCATTTTTAAGGACTTTGGTATGTCCCCGTCTGGGGACAGAACCCATTGCCTTCCTCACCTGGGCGAGCGCTGAACATTCATGCCAAAATTGAGGTGTTGCCAAGCAAAGCGCTAAGAAATAAAAGGTAGTTAGAAGTAGAAAGAAATATGAAGATCCCAAATATTGCGATGGGTGCAGCAGATTTATTTTGGTCGCTTTTGTGTCCCTGAATAGAGGACACCAAAGCAAATCCCTATGATACATGCAGTGGGTAACAGCAGATGTATTCTTTTCCCGATCCCCCACCTGCAGGGGTGTACAGGGAATACATTGTACATACTGGGCAGACATTGTTCATACAGGGAAAACATTGTAAATACTGGGCAGACATCGTACATACTCCCTAGGGAAGACATTGTACATACTGGGAATACAGTGTACATACAGGGAATACATTGTACATACAGGGAATACATGGAATACATTGCACATACAGGGAATACATTATACATACAGGGAATACATTGTACATACAGGGAATACATTGTACATACTGGGCAGACATCGTACATACAGGGAAAACATTGTACATACTGGGCAGAAGCCTTTGATCATGATACATCAAGATATCTCACCTTTAAATCATTCTTTATTGCATGACCCACCAATATTCTTCCCTTGATCATCTCAGCAGCCTTTTTACAAGCCACCGAAAACTCAACACCTTCAAACAAAACAAAATGTTATTCACCTTTTGTACAATATTTAAAAGAGAACAGAAAGCTGTAACATGTATAATAAAAATATCCCATTTTCATGCTCCAGATCAGATACATAACAACATCAGTCTATTATTTTTTTTATGTGAGTGATAGATAACAACATTTTATGATAGTGTCATCAAATAACTGCCATGCTGAAGTAGATGGGAGTAGTCATGCTTGTAAAGTAATGAGTTATGTTCTATGGAGGACACTCTAGGGTGTTCACTAGATCCTTATTATGGTGAATAACAACGAGTTTTCAATATAGAGGCCTAATTCAGTGGATATGGTAAACATATACACTAGAGATCCTTACTTCAGTGGATACCCTAGAGGTATTTACTTGAGATCCTTACTTCAGTGGAGACCCTAGAGGTATTCACTTGGAGCCTTACTTCATTGGATACCCTAGAGGTATTCACTAGAGATCCTTACTTCAGTGGATACCCTAGAGGTATTTACTTGAGATCCTTACTTCAGTGGAGACCCTAGACGTATTCACTTGGAGCCTTACTTCATTGGATGCCCTAGAGGTATTCACTAGAGATCCTTACTTCAGTGGATACCCTAGAGGAATTCACTAGAGATCCTTACCTCTGTGGAGACCCCGGAGGTATTCACTAGAGATCTTCACCTCTGTGGATACCCTAGCGTTATTCACTAGAGATCCTTACTTCAGTGGATACCCTAGCATTATTCACTAGAGATCCTTACTTCAGTGGATACCCTAGAGGTATTCACAAGAGATCTTTACTTCAGTGGATACCCTAGAGGTACTCACTAGAGATCCTTACTTCAGTGGAGACCCCGGAGGCATTCACTAGAGATCCTTACCTCTGTGGAGACCCCGGAGGTATTCACTAGAGATCCTTACCTCTGTGGAGACCCCGGAAGTATTCACTAGAGATCTTTACTTCTGTGGAGACCCCGGAGGTATTCACTAGATATCTTTACCTCTGTGGAGACCCCGGAGGTATTCACTAGAGATCCTTTCCTCTGTGGAGACCCCGGAGGTATTCACTAGAGATCCTTAACTCTGTGGAGACCCCGGAGGTATTCACTAGAGATCCTTACCTCTGTGGTGACCCTGGAGGTATTCACTAGAGATCCTTACCTCTGTGGTGACCCCGGAGGTATTCACTAGAGATCCTTACCTCTGTGGAGACCCTGGAGGTATTCACTAGAGAGCCTTACCTCTGTGGTGACCCCGGAGGTATTCACTAGAGATCCTTACCTCTGTGGAGACCCCGGAGGTATTCACTAGAGATCTTTACTTCTGTGGAGACCCCGGAGGTACTCACTAGAGATCTTTACTTCTGTGGAGACCCCGGAGGTATGCTCTAGAGATCTTTACTTCTGTGGAGACCCCGGAGGTATTCACTAGAGATCTTTACTTCTGTGGAGACCCCTGAGGTATTCACTCTTCTGATTTTGGAGTTTTATTGTCTTTGTTAGGTGACCAGTATAAGGAGAGGACAACAGGTAAAGTGTATCACAAGTCTGCCTGTTGTTATCTGTAGCTGTTCAACAAGGCAGGCTAACAGGAACACAGATATAAATCTGCTGGCTGTTAAATCTTTTAGTTGAATAAATGACATGGTGTGTATCTATTGATTTTCAAATAAATGAAATTTATGAATACATTCATTAACGTGTCTGAGATACATATCCATTAATTCTGCACAGAATTTAAATCACACACATGTTTAATAACAATATTCTACAAGTTATCCCTACAGAGGTTATGATGATACAAAGTACCAACCATTAAGCATGTCCTTCTCCCGCACACCGCTCACCCACGTCCTATAGTCGGTCACTTCCTCTTGAGGCTTAACAAACGTGTCATAGATACAGTGGCCAAATTGGTTGACCAGTGAAACTCTGGCCAGCATGTCCTGCCTGCTGTTAGAGCCAACTCCGACAAACTCACAATCCATAGCCACAGCCTTGGTCAAACTGAAACATGGCACAATAAAACACACTATAACCTTATACACTGATGATTTGAAATCTTTAAAGCAACATCATGATTGTGGAAAGGTGTTTTCCAAAATATTAAGGAATGGCTGCCATATTGGTTCAACCATTTTTAAGTTGAAGATCAATTAAGTTGATAACAGTGACATCAAGATAATACAGTTGTGGGATCACAAAACGTTACACAATGTGTGGTGTGCACATGGCACGATGTGCATATCATGTGCGCACAATCAAAAACTGTCCAAAAATAGCGTGTTAGGTATCATCATGGTTGATATATATAAAGGAATAGCCAGTGAGTGAATAAACTTATATTTTTCCTGATTTAACTTAGATTTTAATTATGTTGCTATATTTCAGTCATATTTACATGGTTATCTTTTTTCTAACAGCAATTGATACATAACATAGCAATGTTGTTTTGAAATTACCTTAATCGCCATGTGTGTAGCTACAATGTTTACAATCCTTAACATGTCTGTACAGTACACCCAGACACAAAATAAACAAAGCAGACTAATCTGTACCCAGTACCTGGCATCGAATATTACAAGGAAGATCTTACCCAGAGGAGCTGACCTAGACATTGAATATTACAAGGAAGATCTTACCCAGAGGAGCTGCCCTATACCTTGAATATTACCAAGACTATCTTACCCAAAGGAGCTGACCTAGACATTGAATATTACAAAGAAGATCTTACCCAAAGGAGATATCTTACCCAAAGGAACTACCCTATACATTGAATATTATAAGAAGATCTTACCCAGAGGAGCTTCCCTAGATATTGAATATTACAAGGAAGATCTTACCCAAAGGAGCTGACCTAGACATTGAATATTACAAGGGAGATCTTACCCAAAGGAGCTGGCCTAGACATTGAATATTACAAAGAAGATCTTACCCAAAAGAGCTGCCCTAGACATTGAATATTACAAGGAAGATTTTACCTAGAGGAACTACCCTAGACATTGAATATTTTAAGGAAGATCTTAATCAGAGGAAGTGCCCTAGACATTGAATATTACAAGGAAGATCTTACCAAGAGGAGCTGCCCTAGACATTGAATATAACAAGGAAGATCTTAACTAGAGGAACTACCCTAGACATTGAATGTATTACAAGGAAGATCTTACCCAGAGGAAGTGCCCTAGACATTGAATATTACAAGGAAGATCTTAACTAGAGGAACTACCCTAGACATTGAATATTACAAGAAATATCTTAATCAGAGGAAGTGCCCTAGACATTGAAACTTTCTTCTTCCTAATGTCTCCCTTGACAACGCCTTACTTTTGGCCTTTAGATGAACGTTCGCAACTGTGAGGAAGGCTTTGGGTTTGTCCCCTGGCTGAGACATACCAGAGTCTGTAAAAATGGTAGTTTCTTCTCCTGCTTATAACGCTCAGCAATTTAGGAGTGAGACGACTGGTTCGCCCCTTGTCAGTATAATGTGACCGGGTAGTGTGTCCTGCTGGGTGTCTTCGGCAGTAAGTTTCAGGGAGATAGCACTATAAGAATATTACAAGGAAGATTTTAACTTAAGGGACTACCATTGACAGTAAATATTACAAGGAAGATCTTACCCAGAGGAAGTGCCCTCCTTCACCAAAGATTTTTTGTCATTTTTTTTCCTCTTCCCAACAGGTTGCTTTGGCTGAATATCCAGTAGTGATTCGTCAACATCATCAAACCAGATATCTGGTGGCCTGAAAATGGAAAACCTTCATTTAGCACTGTAATATCCCTTAACAACATCATAGCAACAAGTTACAGTGCTATATATTAGTGCTCAAACGATGATGTTAACCTGCCACATTTGTTTTCTTACACATCCCATTTCATCCATATTGTAGACTAGTATATAACTTTTCATGATTAAATCATTGAAGTTGTGAGGATTATAGGGTATTTAATCAGCATTCTCTAAACCAAAATCCAAACACTTTCCAGCCACATGATTCACTATTTCAGCCATCTTTGATAACATCCTTTGATTGGTCAATTAAAATAATTTGCAACAGTATAACCACAATATACTGTCTACAAATTGCTCTGCATTTGAAGCCCAGGTGGCAATTGTTAATGACATCAATGATCCCCGACTGACCCCGACAGGTCATGGAATTGATTATTCATGACATCACGAACAATGGTGTGACCTCTAAGGGTCTATGTTATTCCATCTCACTTTGAATATTCCTGATGTCACAAATACACACAGAATTTGAAGAAAACACCCAGAAATACCTTCAAATCGTTCATTCTTTTGGTGGTTTATATAAATTAGAATGGGGAACAACCCTGCTGTATATTGAGGTTTGCAGCGGTATATTGTGATTAGATCGTCACAAATATCTCTGCTCCACATTGCCAGTAAAATTCAATATGCGACAGTATAATCGGGATATACCTCCGAAAATTTCAAAATACAGTAGGGTTATCCCCAACTATAAGTTGTATGTGTGTTCTATATTATATTATCTCAACAAGTAGTAAAATTAGTCTTATACACCATACTTACTTTTCTGGTTCAACATTTTCCACTTTTTTCTTTGAGGCATGCTTTTTTGATTTTGATGGTGGCAGAAAAAGTTTCTAAATGAGAAAAAAACATGTTAGCAGGCTTTATGGAATGCATGCTACGGTCAGATATTTGTTATCAAACTTGAAGATATCGAGCAGACACTGTTTCGGAAGTGGATAAAGGACCTAAACTCTGTAAGTTACCGACAGATATTGGTGTTTATCAAACTTGTCTAAGCTGTTCTGGTTATGAACCTTCTTATGAAGTTTGAATTTAATCTATTGAAAATTAATGAAGATATCAAGCGTACATCAAGCGCGCCCACTCACCAATGTGATAACATAATACATCCCCGTCTTTGACAGGCGTATAAAAACACCATTTAATCCTTACATATTGTGAAGGAAGCTGTTTTATAAAAATCATGGTGACCTAGTGATACTCTCAGCATCCTTTTCATCAATCTTTGTTTTATTGGGTCAATTTTGGGAATTATATTCAAATGAATTGGCCCAGTGGGGAAGGTAAATTTAACAAATTATATCCATGCTGAGCTATAGTCTAACGGATAAACTAGATATACTACCTGCTTCAATTTTTCCCAGTTAGAAGAAAAGTCTTCTGGTCGCCTTGGAATTTGAACAGGCTTTTCCTCTGTTTTAAGATGAATACTGTCTGTCTTTACATGAACTTTTCCTTTTTCTGTCACATTTCCTTCACTTTTCAAATTGTCCATCTCTCTTCGTTTTTTCTTCAAAACTTTTGTATTTCTTTTCCTTCTGTCTCTTTTTCTTTTTGCGCTTGTGTCTGTCTTTGACTCGATATTATTTTCATTATGAAGTTTCAGTTTCAGTTTTTTGGAAGCAGTGTCTGATTTTGAATCCAATTCTGCGTGATTATTTTCTTTCAATGTTTTTGTTGCATTTGAATCATGTACATGTTTTTTTTTCCTGTCACTGTGGACCTTCACATCACTTTGGTTTCTCCCAGCCTCTCTTTTCCTCTTCATATTTTTGGGGTTTTCCATATCAATCTTAAATCAAAATAAAGCAATTTACTGCAATGCACTAAAGTAAAATTATCTTTGTTTATTTCTATGCAAAATTTACAAGGAACTTAACCATAAAAGTTGTAATAAAAACAAATATCAGATAACCTAATATAAATACATTCTACGCACTCTTCCTCATTTTACTCATTATAAATTACTGGCATCTAGGAATGTAAATGAAAACAGCCAGCTATAGTCTATACAAATTTGAATTCTTTTACTATCGAAAACATTATTTTTTTATGGTTATATTATAAGTAGAAAGTGCATTAAAAATACATGTACTACTTTACCAGATATTAAAGCAATGTTACTATATTAATGCAACAAGGTGCAATTTTCTGTAAAAATGAGTTTATAATATACTTCTATTCTTACAGAATTTTTTTTAGGAAAATAACCTGTATTTTGTGTATTTTATTGATGGGGATCCAGAACAATTTAAACTTAGATATAGAGCACAAACCAGGGGCGGATACAGGAATTTATTTCGGGTGTTGTGCATGCTTAAACCTAAAAAAAAGAAGGATTTAGCCACTATTTTTCGCACTCAGGAATTGACTCTATCTGATTTTCCACCTTCATGATAGGGATTAGTATATGGGGTATAAGGGGTATATGTTGCTGATTATAGGGGAGACCGGTGAAAAGTCAGGTCAGCCAAGTTAGACCCATGTAACATATAAAAGTTGTGAAGTTGGCGGGAGAACCCAACGTCTCATGCTTTATGAACGTCACAATTACTGTATGCTGATCACGATTCCAATGTGGGTCAAATACTCCAGACTGCCTTTCCGAACTTACCCCAAGACAAATCATCAATTCTTCAGGCAGAAAAAGTGGAAAAATTCTTCAAAGGTGGACATGTTCGTCGCTAATTTCTCTTAAATTGCATAATCTATTTTCACGTGGTATATTGGACCACTTACCACTTTCAATTGGTAACTTAGCATTTACATGTTCTAAATTTATAATATGCTATGGCCAGTTTTGGAGGGAGTTCTACTAAGTACTAGTACCTTTCTAAAAAAAAGTTTGTTCTTATAGATTCTATAATTGATTCCTTTCGGGGAAGTATAAATTTCATTTCTCCATAGCTATATAGAAAACCTTGGTTCAACTTTTTAATGAGAAATTCACACATGAAATGGAGGAAAATTTTCGAATATATTTGGGTCAGATCAATTTTGGACACAGAAAAAAAGGCGTTGGCCAGGCCACTAGGGCAACACCCCTGCATTCGGCACTGCAAACTGTCATAAACATGTTTTCAGTCTCACTCCATCTGAATACAATCAAAACAGCTACAAGCATGTTTAGACAGGCGTTTGGCGTAAGTTGTTTGATACAAATGTTACTAATGGCTGGCTACCCAATATATCAAATAGGCCCATCTTATTTAATTTTCACATTGTACTGACAACGGGTGAACCATGCAGTTGTTGCCATTCCCCTATAAATGCTGAATGTTAAGCAGGGAATAACAACTACCATTTTTAAGGACATTGGTATGTCCTGGCCTGGAGACAGAACCCTTTGCCTTCCTCACCTTGGCCACTGTTCAACATAAAACCCAAAAGTGAGGTATTGCCAAGCAAGGCGCAAGGAAATAAAAGGTAGTTAGAAGTACAAAGAAAGATAAGGATCCAAAATATTTCCATGGGTAAAGCAGATTTATTTTGGTCGCTTTTGTGTCCCCAAATATAGGACACCAAAGCAAATCCCCAATTCTGCAGGGGGTTCCCACATTAGTCGCATACATGCAGCGGGAGTATTCTTTTCCCGATCCCCCACCTGCAGGGTAGGAGACTGTATATATACAATAAACTCCAAAATCATCAGAAATATAAAGGGAAAAACAGACAGAAGATCTGTGTCGTGTATAAGATATGATAGGCCTAATATGTTTGTAGAGCAAAAATAGTATTTTTGGTAGATGGGCCATGCTCAATATTCTGATATTCAGGTAAATAAGTTTTGATTACAAATCCACGTGTTTTCTTTCTGAAAATTTTGTCATCATCATTCTAGTAAGAACCAATCTTATTTCACTGCAACATGGTTAAATTATAGCACGTCAGTGTTCTTCACTCAACAGAGAAATAAATCACTGGGGACCACATAACTCCGTACCGAGAGTCAACCCAATACGTACCTAATGTTACCACCATGGGCGCAGACATTTTGTACACACGGAGTAAATAGGCTCTAGTGTTTGATTGGCTAAATTTAAAAAGGGGTACATTTGGGGAAAATTATTTGTTATTTGTAAAAATGTAGTGTTAATTTCATAATGCCTAACAAGGGCGCTGATTTTGTTGATCTCTGATATTGACTGATTCAGAATGAGATATTACTGCTTTCAGAATGAAATCAGATAACTTTATTTAAAGTCGGCTAATTCTCGAAGTCGGTAATCAGGAGTAACAATAAAACACACTGCCCATTTTTATTGAAGTCCGTTCTGTGAAGTACAGTGTAATTAAGGCAGCATGTCTGTTTTTTGAAGAATTATTTAACTTTTCCTATCGGAAGATTGGATGGCCGAATGCATTCGGGTAAGTTCGGCCCTCGTTGGAATCAGCTTAATTTTACGACTTTTCATGTGTTGCATGGGCCGAACTTGCCCCGGTGTCTTGATATTTCAATAAATTCTTATATAGTACATGTACATCAATAGAGGAGAAAGTACAGAAACAAAGGAATACAAGTGACCTACTTTCAAAGTCACAGGAGTCAGATATGTCTAATGCTTAAAACGACTTCTTCTGATCGATGAAGGACTGAAAGGTATTGAAGCTAAATATTTTGCTGGTAGCTTTCCTGGGAAATAACCCAACAAAGTTTGAGAATGAAAATGACTTTGACCTACTTTCAAGGTCACAGGGGTCAAATATAACAAACCCTTCAAACGACTTCTTCTGAAGAAATAAAAGGTATATAATCTTTATATTTGGCTGGTAGCTTCCTGTGATGGAGCCCAACAAAGTTTGAGAATGAAAATGACATTGACTTTCTTTCAATGTCACAGCGCTCAAATATGTCAAACTCTTTAAACGACTTCTCCTGATGAACTAAAAGGTATAAAATCTTCATATTTGGCTGATGGTTTCCTGAGATAGAGTCCAGCAAAGTTTGAAAATGAAAATGACCTTGACCTTCTTTCAAGGTCACAGGGGTCAAATATGTCAAAAACATCAACTGACTTCTGAATAATCGAAAGGCATAAAATTATAATATTTGGCTGGTGACTTCCTGGGATAGAGCTCATCAAAGTTTGCGAATGAAAATGACCTCAACCTACTTTAGAGGTCACAGAGGTCGACAACATTTTAAAGGATTTGTTGTTAAGAACTAAAAGGAATGGATTCATAAGATTTGGCTGGTAGCTTTTTTGAAAAGAGCTAACGAATTTGAGAAGGAAAATGACATTGACCTACTTACAAGGTTACAGGGAAAATATGTCAAGCAACTTCTGAAGAAGGATAAAAAAGCATAGAATCTTATAATAATATTTGGCTGGTAGTTTCAACAGATGGAGCCGACAAAGTTTGCGAGGGAAATATTTGTAGTGCAATTTAATATCCAGTGAGAATATTTTGTTATCACTGCTTAAATACTCAGGTACATAGATACAGACCCTCTGTGCCTCTTGTTTGAATACTCCAAGCAAGTTACTTAAGCATTGAACTGTTTTTGTATGGTATTTATGATCTATTTGAATGACTCAGCTTTGCAAGCAAACAACATAATGCGCGCTTATATTTACGTTTTCTCTGCCTCTTATGTTCTTTTTTAAACTTATAATTTATATTTAAAATTAAAATTAAAACTGCCCGCCTTATCGACAGTCCACAAAATTTCGTTCAATAGTTTGAACAGCGTAATGGCGCGTGCTGATTCGCAAACAAAGTAGTACTTTGAAATTTTAACAAACACTTCAATTTTATTCCACAATTCAGTATCAATACAATTGCGTATGATATGTCTATAGGGTGATTTAAGTTTATCAATAGAACTCTGAGCTGAAAGTTAGATTTGGAATTGTTTCGATTTTTCCCCGGAACAAATTTCGCGCATGGACAAATACAGTAAACACCGTAAATCCGACCTTGCCCTCCACGAGGGAGTTATTTTTGGAAGTTAATTCGAACTTTTCTCTTTGCTCATTTTGTGAAGAATCCAGGCGTGAATGTATTTGTTGATTGTATGGGAACCTGACAACAGTCGGTAGATTCTATAACAGCCTCGTTATTTGACATGTCGTCAGAAACTGAGGAACCGTGGATGCGAGACGCGTGAAACTGATAGCGTTTGAAGTGAGTGATCTTGCGACGGAGCACAGGTTCGTTACAAATGTCTGAAATGTTTATGTGTGCTGTGACTCATATCAGTAGGTCTGTAACATATGTGTCAGTAGGTCTATAGAATATGTGTATTTCAGACATTTGTAACGAACCCCTGTTGATCAGTGCAGTGTAACAGACGATATTTCTGATAAATTGCATGAGCGTTAAAATTGTTTCCATTGCCGGCATTGGTGATTTCAACCGATGTGCATTTTGTACGATATTGCAGACCTTGATCTTGTTTTCGTTGTAATAAAAGTGTGTGTTTTTTATTTTATTTTTTATTTTGCACATAAATTTACAATGACATTGTCAAATCTCACAATGCCCAGCGATATTTCAGCAGCCGTCATGTTTATTTATATTGGATATTGTAGTTCCGGTCAGTGTTGTATAAATACGCTAAGAATTGTGTCTCGTGATGCATGGTGATTAAAGTCCCATCAACGACACAGCTTTCAAAGAGGCTATATAGTGACAATGCCATGCAAATGTTAATATAACTATATAAATGGTGGTTGTATCTGCATACATAGCTTTGTGCACTTACGGTTAAAACCCGGCAAGGTAATAAAACCACTTTGTTTAAATCGTGGGGTTAGTTGACCGACAAAGCTGAACACATATGTTGGCTGAATAGTGGCAGACTATTTGCGACTGGATAAACTTAGCTAAGTGTGTACATGTACGAATTTGTATTTTCAGTTAGTTTTCTGAAGATGTTTGTAAGCATGAGCGAAGCAAAGCACGTTCTAGAACTCGGGTTATTTACCGGATGTAGTGCATTATCCATTGCGGAATGTCTTCCGGTTGACGGAAGTGTCACAACGTGTGAAAACCTTCCATACCTACAGGATCTGGCACGTAGATATTTAGATCAATCCCCTTAAGGAAAGAAAGTTATAATCAAAGGAGGTAGACCACTCTTCCGCCCGTTTATATTTATATTACATTTATAATACGAGCCAGAGACATATAAAGCCATAAAGTATATATACGTCTCTGTACGAGTATAGTGAGTGGTGGGTTCACACACAAATATTTAAAAATGCATCCTTGCCCCTCCTCTCCCTATGAAACATGTATTTCTGGAATTTCTCCCAAGGTTAAAACTAAAGCAATAAATATTGTCTTTGATGGGGAGGGAAAAGCGTCTTTACAGACAGGTAGATATAAAGACTGAAATATATTTATACAAATATTATCAATACAGAAAACAAGTTCCATATGTCTAACGCATGTAGTTGTCAATACTTATTGATTTTATATTATCCATGGATGTTAACCTAATTCATCTGTAAATGTACAGCTTTACTATAATTGTTCTGTGTCCTTGCTTTTTGCTTGTATCTTGATAAAGGGACTGATTGCAACGAAAATTTAACAACTTATGTTTCCGAACAGTTGCTATTACCTGTTTGATTACTTTCACCAAGCAGACATTTGTTGGTTTGGATCCAGAAAAGGACCATATTGACGTTAATACTTATAAAACATAATCAACATTACATCCTAAATACGCGTTTCAAAATCATTGTTCATGCATTTATTACAGTTTGATATTGTTAAAAAGCAGACATTTGTTGGTTTGGATCCAGAAAAGGACCATATTGACGTTAATACTTATAAAACATAATCAACATTATTTCCTAAATACGCGTTTCCAAATCATTGTTCATGCATTTATTACAGTTTGATATTGTTTTTATGAACGCCGATAAGACCAACTACATTAAATATGTCAAGGTAACGTGTCAGTTTTCCATATATCGCCTTTCACTGGATCGTTATTATTTATAACGGATGGGATGTGGTGTTGGTTCATCTGCGTCTCCTTCTTTAATAAGCTTCGCTGAAAATGTTAACTTGTGTATAAAAAATCCTCAGCAGAGTAAATTCATCCAAAATCTTAAAGAAATTTTCGAAAAAAGGACCTTATTAATGTTCATTAACTTAGGTGTTGTACGATTTTTGAATTTGTTCATTGTCATATTATCGTGAAAAAGATTGCAGATGAACTGTATATACTAACGCGTAAAACAAAATACGTCATATTCCGAATGTTGAAAATACAAATAATCAGAACAAAATCCTTTAATATCAGGTATTGGTTCCTATTCGAGACTGATGGTCGGATGTGGACGGATCTTATCAGTGAACATCGTTCACACGGATACATGGATACTGGGGTCCACGGATAAATGGATATACGGATATAAGGATTAAAGTACCATACGTAATTAAGCTTTACACTTTGTCACTAGCTGGTAGTTATTATTACATCTCTTGATCTAGGCTGTATTGGCTGTGAACATAGGCGCTGTATAGTATGAATACAAAATTGCTAGACGGATGTTGCTCCTGGGCTGGTACTATACCTTGACGTCGGAATTATAGACGTTTGATTCCAGGAAAAAGATACCAGTACTAGTGCAGCGCGGTACAGTGCGGATACTATATACCTGGGGCCACCGTGCCTCAGTTCACTAGGGAGAAAGTATAAGAACGAAACCCTTCGAGAAGATGTCAGATTGAAGGTAAAAAGTCCACGCTTTCCTCCTAAAAAGGGCAAAACATATTTGTATCATATGCCAAAATTGAAGACAAAAATCATTATATCCGAACAAGTATATCAACAGTTTAGATACATGTATAACCAACATTCAGTGGCTCTGGAAATGTAGGATCACGTGATTTATCATATTTACCACGCAAATGAGTTAAGGTAAATATTTTGGGCCTATTACATTAATTCGCATATGCTTATTTTGTTTTAAACGCAAACA